CGCCGTCCCTCCTGTCCCCGCCCACGCCGCTCGATACGGCGATAGTTGTACCCAAGCTCTCAATCTAATTTGCACTCTGGCTATGACACAAAACTATGAAACACACCTTACTCTTCTTTATATGAAAGAGAACAGTTTAGGAAAAGCAAGATAGTAAGTGCACAGACAAAGCTTATGGACTATGGCTAAATTAAAATAGCTGAAGTGCTTGAGGCCACTCTGTGCCCGAATACATCTTTCAGTCTCTCAGAGGTCGGTTCCATTAGTGTTGGCAAGACTGTGGAATATGTGACATAACAGTAAATAGCTTTTGATCTACTGAATGTCAATGTCATAGAAGAAGTACTACTGCTCACAGACAACAGTGAAGTGCATTTTTGAAATACAGCCACTACTCAACCAATCTATATGACATAAAAAGCACCCCAAACGGAATGCCAACTGGACAGCAAAGTCCATATTTGTATCACTATCTCATTGGATAACAAACTACACCTCTATGGAAAATCCTGCTTTCAAATTAACTTTCACATTTATCCCCCTTTTTGACTGACAATGAGGGTTTTTTTACAGTCATGATAAACCCAAATCAGCATCCTAGCTCTGCCACTACACATTTTGAGACAATATTTTAAGAACAAGTCCACTTTTAATTACCCTCAGTAAATTCTAGAATAAAATATAATGCAGTAGTGGAACAACTGCATAATAATTAATTTTAAACTAATTAATTACTTTCAAGTAAATAATCACTTTGTAGAGCAGGACAAAAACCTATCTGCACTATATTCCTCTAAAGGTTAGAGGAAATTCAAGAGTTACTTACCCCATTTCCCATTCCCCTTCCCTCCAATTCTGGATATATTCTGATCTAACTGCTCTTTAATAATATAGCATATCATTAGCAGTGAAGACTCCTTAGCAGATACAGGATAAAGGCACTGCTATCTGCTGTTCACAACAGAAACATTAACTTTACAGTGAGTAGTAAATGTCCCAAACAGTGTTTTTCAGGCTGTGGTCTCTGAACTTCTTGAGGTTTAAGGATTATTTTAAGAAGCTCACTAACTAGAAAAAGAGTCTATTGTCCATAACTTTAAATTTGTGTTATGGAACTCTGTACTTTTGGGTTTTTTGAAAATATGTTGGTCCACGAACAACCAACCCTACTGTTCTTTAAGAACATCTTTCTTTCAGCTGCCAATCCAAACCTGAAAGGAGCCCTAAAGGAGGTTCTGAAGCTGTCTGATAAAGGGCATACCACTCAAATCAGTACTACCGTCCAGGCTTACAAAACAGATTCAGTCTTAACTCTGAAATTGTTCCTTCCACTATTTCTGCCTTTTTTTTTCTTAGTCTTCTGCTTGATTACATTTTAATAAAGCAAAGATGCCAATTTAATTCAGCCACTGAAGATAAGAGGGAAAAGATGACTGCGAGGGAGGTAAAACTTACCAAGGAATGCATAGCCATACAGCTGGGAGCTAAAACCCACAGTGCTTGTTTGCTTTAGACCTGTAAGCACTAGCGATGCTCCAAGATTTCTCTCCTCTTCCCACTGCAAATAATGTAAACTAAGTAAGCGTTCCTTGACAAACACAAACTTAAAATGGCAGCAGCCAAAGACAGCACATGTGGCTTTCCACAGATGTCTTAGCAATAAAGTAAAGAATCATTAAACATGTCTAGTGTTCAGAGTTACAGTATGTATATTGTGATGAACAGTACACATTACACTGAAGAACACCTCTCTTTCCAGAAGACAGCAAAACGTGGGTGGTTGAGATTTTGCATGGAAGTCAATCAGTGCGTTTCCTTCAGGACAGAGGGTTACAATGATTTACATTGGCCAAGCTCTGTTTCTGTCCTGTATGTCCTACCACTTGCTTCAGGCTAACACTGTTGAAGAAAAAAATTACATGGCTTCTGTACTAGAGCAGCCTTTTCTTTTAAGTGTGTAGTAAGATACATGCTCCGCTATCCTCACTACAATAGGAAAATGCTGAGAGAAGAATATGCTGCTAATGGCTGCTCTGTGTCCAAAATCTGCACTGTGAAAAGAACACATGCAACTCACCAAGACCACTGTATGCCCCAGGATTAAAAGTACAGCCGTCTCTCCAGCTAGAGAGAAGTACCAGCTGTCTGAGCCAGACCACCAGTGATGGCTTAAGAAGGGCACCCAATCAGTAAGTACATTAAAACCACAAGAGTAGTGTGAATTTTGTTTTGCTATAGGATAGTACAGTACTTTTTTCAAGACCAGAGAAGCACAAACATCAAGGATAAATGTCTCTTGACTGCAAGTGAAAGGAGCTCAGCAACTCCCATTGCTAAGAAAATGAGGAAAAGGAAGCTATAAAAGGCAATAGATTGGGGGAAGTCTGACTCTCTAACACGTGGTTTTTGTGGCAGGGTACTTCAGTGTCTTGTTTGTTACCTTATGACCTGAGACAAATATCCCTGGTGAAAGGAAGAAGCCTCCTGAAAAATTCCCTGAGGTATATTGAGTCTTAAAAAGCACAAAAGTTCGACCTTCTGGTTTAACGCTTTATTCAGAGATGTCTTTTCAAGGTATGGCATTTTTTTTGTGCCTCCATTCAGGTGCTACAAGAATTTGCGTGTTATCATCTGACACAAAATACCATCACCTGACAGCCAGGCAAGGTATTTGCCTGACCCAGAAAAGGGATACAAGGAGATACGGCTGTTTCGTGCTGAATTCAGCACTCCAGTTTAACGTTATAGGAAAATCAGATGCAATTGGAAAAACAGGGCTTTTAGCAGTCTAGGTTCTTTTGGGAGCTACCCCATTTGGCTCCAAGAGCTGGAGGAACTGCAAGAACTTAACGTTAACATCTTTGCAGTGGAAGGTAGCAATCATACTGACTGTTTGCAGCAGTCAAGGAGGAAACTTTCTGGGGAGAGACAAGACCAGTCAGGCTTTCAGTGGTGTTTACAACAGCAGAAAAATGGAAGCTGTCTATACCACTGCTATACACACTAAGGACTAACATAGTCAGACTGCCCATGATTCAGCTCTCAAAGTTAAAAAACATTTCATCAGGCTGCTGGACCTTAAGCTACGGCCAAGGGCCTGTCTGCAACAGGACACTGGCTGATCTGTCTCACACCTTAGGAAAAGGGAATGGGATTTTCAGCAGTAGCTGAGCAGATCTCATAACTCTGTCTACCCTCACTTCTTAAATCAAACACAGAAAATTGGTACTGAGCATTATGAGGTGTTGAATGGTAATCTGTATGGTGTATACATATGAAATATGGCTTATTGCTGTCTTTGGATGGGGTTATTTCAAAATGCATATTAAATGAGTCACAGCTATATAAATATGCTTGCTTCAAATGTGTCATATGTCCACACCACCCTTTCTTCCATATTCAGCTTTCATGAAACACTACAGATCTTGACAAGCGTTTGTCTTTGCAGTGAGGATACACAAACATGGACAAACACAATGGGAAAATGAGATTTTGGTCCCTCTGCTTTTCATATACAAGTGATCAAGCATACTTGACTTCTGGGGAATGAAGGAGAACACAGAACAGGGCAAATGCACATCTGTTTTCTACAGTGAAAACTGAAATTACAACCCAATTGAGTAAAATCTTAAGGCGTCTGTAATATGCATTTTGGAAGATGCTTGATGTAAGACAAATGGAGGCTTCAACCATTTTCCTTATGGATGACAACATGCTATTGAAGGCTTGTGCCAAACTATATGAAAAGTAGCTGCCTAAAGTTATGGACATGGCAGAGTCCTTTGCTGATACCTAACTAAGCCCCTCCTGCAACGGTAGAATAAAGCCACTTCCAAGAGCCTGAACTGTCATGTTGGCCTTAAGCAAGTGCAATGTGAGTAAGAAACCCCTAATCCTTGGAGACAGGAGAGATGTAATGAATTTAGTTTTAAAACAAATACATACTAGAAACAATACACCCAAAGTCAAATGCGATAGTAAAAATCCTAGTGAAAATGCTTTATAATTCTGCAACATCACCATTACCAAGCTCTAATGGTGAATGATACTCACCTTAACAGGGTACTATACAATAGGTGACACAGTTTTTTTGTGTTAACTGATAGACCCTTCTTTGAACTGAACTGAAATGTCGTTTCATAACCTTCCAATGGGCACACATTACACGTGAAAATCCCAACACACCTTCCCTTTCAGACAAAGGAGCAAAAGGGGTGACAAGTTATTTGATGGCTTTCATATTTTGTGTTTCTTTTTTTTTCTTTCTTCTGCAGTTGTAAAAATAATGAAAAAAATGGAGTATTTATTTTTTCCAGGTAAACTTAGGGGAAATAAAATACATTCAAGATTGAATGCCCAACTGCCTGCACCACGACACTTAGAAACGGGGGGTTTGTGTATCATTTTGAGTGTCAGCTTACCGTATGTTCAGACTTGGTTGCCAGGTACTGGTATAAAACATAGAGAGAAAGAAGCTGTGTTGAGAATTCATCAAAACTTTCTTGCAGCATGATCTCTGTTACTACTGACACAGCATCTATGGAGGAAAACAATACATAATCAGCAAGTGCAAATTTACACAGCTCCCTTTCGCACCCACTCATGTTCACTGATGCTTTATTGCTGCAGTGTGTTTTGAAGTAGTTAGGGAGAAAGTTAGAAGATTTCTTATGACTAGTGGTATAGAATTAGTCTTACTCGCTTAGGTTATTAAAACACACTGTGAGAAGGAAGAATGGGTTGAATAGCATGAGACCACAGCAAAGGAGCTTTCCAAACTCATCTTAGACCTACACTCTTCAATTGGCTCTTCTTTACTCAGCCCCTTCAACCATTAACATTTTTTAAAAAACCTCTAAAAATGACTTCTTTATTCTTGTGTTTAGATTACAAACAAGAGAAGACTGGCTTAAATTCACTGCCCTTAAGGTGACAGGAGAGTACAATGGAGCAGAAATGTTGTCACAGATCACCCACAGCACTCACTGTATTCAACAAACAGTGCTCTGGAGGAGCTCCACAGGGAGTTCCAGTGACACTCCCTGTCAGGAAGGACAGTTAGTTAAACTTGAGCCTGTCACAGAAAATAAATATGGATGGAATAAGGGGGAATTCACAGATACAGGTGCTCTCAAAACAAAATAAATATGTATTAATTTGCCATTTAGTAAAACCTTCATGATAAAAGCTACAGACAAGTCCTGCAATTCTATTGTCCCTTTCAGTTATTTGTTTTACAAGAGGTTTATGCAAAGAAAAGTTCATTGCAAGTCTACAGTACCAGAAAACCTGCAGTGAAATGAAAACCTTAAATATTTGTCATCAGACATGAGAGGATTATTCATCTCAACACTTAAACAGTCAATAGCGAAAGACAGGCCCCTCAACATGACAATTCAGCATAGCCTGTCAGTGACAGACAGAAAGTCTAGACAAACAGTTTAGATATGTAGCTTTCTGAATAGCTAAATGTAGGTAAGATGAACTCTATCAACATGCATTTTGATTCTTGTAACACTCTAATTGTCACTAATAACTCCTGTGTTGTTGTTAGCATGTAAGTCAGACTTGTAAAAACTGGAGAAGTTGGTTTACTTTTGGAATGGGATTAATCACAGTAGAAACTGTGAATTGCACGTGTTTCAAAATTATATAATGAATAAAAACCCCACAGAAATGAGATATAAACATGCAGAAAAGTAGTTTAAAGGAAGGAGAAGGTGACTTCAGAAAAAATATGGCTAAAAGTTTTTAATTCAAAGAAAGGCTCTGCAGATTTAAGACGATACAACTAAGGTTGCAGAATTGGTATATATATATTTTCTTACCTTCATACTTCTTCTGCTTTAAAAAACAATCCAACAAAATATTGAATGTAAAATTATCTGGGAAAATTCCATACTGAACCTGAAGAGAAGAAGGAAAAAAAATCAGTGTGAAAATCTGCTGTTCAAATCTTCCCAAGCATAGCGCTGCAGGTATCAGAAAGATCAGAACCATGGCATTGCACACTGCTGCAGTGTGACAGTTAGTCAAGCAACACAAGGAGATTAGCACGGCTCCTGTGATGTAGGCTTTCTAACTTTTGATGTACTGGATTTGTTTTGGCGTTTTATCTGAGCCTTTGGGACCAGGAGGAGCATTGCATATCGGGTTTTTATGCCTCTCCTGCATCTAGCATGTTTTGGACACCAACACTGTTTAAAAACAAAAAGCTTCCTGGGAAAGGAGAGGAAATAAAAGCTGTAAAAAGCTTTAGCTAAAATTCAAGTGCAACATTAATTTTTGACAAAGAAATATCTGAACTGAAAACCACAGTCTACAGGACCTGGCTGCAACAGGAATTCCAGGTAAGCCACACTTGTCTCAAAAAGTGGATCAAATATATTCATGGGTTTTCCTTGTAAAATCTTACCTTGTTTTTTAATGTGTATAAGGCTTTGTCTTGTGCACCATATTTTAAGCACTGTCTGATCCAGCTGTGGATGGTCCAGTCTCTCAAGTACCAGCAATTTGGACTATGCCGAAACCTAAAGCATGATAAACAGTCCAGGTGACAATATGACTCTTTGTTATCACAGAAACAAATTCTGTAATTAACAAACTATGAGCTTCAGAACCCCCGCCTTTCATGATCTCAGATATAAATCTGTCTGTATTTGACTTTGCATTCAATCATTGCTCTCCGAAGAGCTCCAGCTAGCCCCTTCAATTAAGAGAAACAAAACTTTGATACACTTTAATACTGTGTACAGAGGGGGAATCTGACCTTTTCATAAATGCATAATATTTTAAACTTCTCACTTTCCAGAAAGCCTACTACTTTTCCCCTGAAAAGATGGATATAATAAAATAATAGCTTGGTATATTTACGAAGGTCAACTGAGGTTGCTATAAACACTGTAGTATTTTTCAACTTTGTCCTTCTGATGGTATAACATTGTATTGTTGCTGGTCTTGTCAAAGAGCAACACTTCTCCATGACTCATGACATCAGTATCAGAATTACATCAAAATACAGCTGGGTCTGAACCTTCGGAGCTTGTGTAACCTGGTGTCTCCCACTCTCTCTAACTCATGCCTCACTTCAACCACTTAAGAATTCATTGTGCCCCAGCACAGGCCATCCCTGGGCTGCTGCATGCTTCATTTGTGTTTAGAAAATGCTTCATCAGACAGGCATGCCTCATGCAAGGGAAACTCTGCTGGAAAGCGCTCCCCTGCACCGACTACTTTGTCCTGACGGATGTTTCTTTAACCTGTTCTGAGACACCTCATGCCATGGCTTCAGCAATCTTCCCATGCAACCTACTCCAGAGCTCAACCGATTTGTAAAATTAAATACTTTTAAGTTCAGCCTCTTTTATTTAATCCTTTTTCAGACATATACACTTTACTCTGCATTTGGAGAAGTGGCGACAAAGAGTATATGGAGCTTTACCTTTGGCAAAGACTCAAAAACCATTTGAGAGTCCAGTGGCAGGAGCTGCTGCCTTGGTCCTGGGCTGAGTTTCATACCCCAGTGTGAAGACAAGCATGCACCCTTTCTCAGTTCAAAGTGTGTGCATGAAAAATGGGCTCACTCCTCACCAGAGAAGTGACTGCCACTTCCTGTAGAAAACACCGGTGACTGAGCTGGGCTCATGTCCAGATGCTTGCAGCCTCAAGCCAAGCTGCAGCACCATTTAGAGGCAGGGTTGGCTCTTCCATCTGAGTGAGCATGCCTTCCAGAACATTTATCAGATTAACGTGGACCAACTCTCCTTCCCCGCCAGTGAATCTCTGCATATTGCATCCCACGGCTGAGGGCTACACAGATGACCAAGCCTGGAAAAGTACTGCAGCCTAGAGAGCCTTCAGAATGCAGAAGACATCCATGCCAAAAGGGAAGCTAAACAACTACGCAAAATCTAAATATATGTTTTTTAAGTGGCACATGAAACCTCCCCATTAAATGAGAATTTAACAGAAAAAGAAAAGCATGCTTTGAATATTAAATTACATCTACTTTGTTGCTCTAATTGCTTTCCATTTTCTTCCCTCTGGAGTTCAAATGTTGGGAACAGCAAGAACGTATATTTGCTTTCATTAAAATCCTGTTTCAATAATGCTTATTTGGATTTAATCATATCTTGATGACACAATTATCTAACTGCTACAGACTGTTTCATCAGTCATTTAAGACGGGTCAGCGTGCAACACCAGCACGCAGCAACAAAGCTGCCAGCATCTTTTAAAGTTGCTTCATTAAATGGTTAATATTGTTTCACAAGAGGAAAACAACAGACTTTTCTTATAAAAACATGACACTTAACGCTCTCAAAGACTTAGCCCTTTCTTTTGATACAGTCCTTGGCATTCTTCCTATTAATTGGTTACACAGGAGAGAAGAAAACATTTTAAAAAAAAAAAACCCAAAGGTTTTAATGGGTTTGAATATTCACCTTTTCGCAGAGCTGCATTCACTCTCTTGAGTACACCACAGTGAGAGAGAGCACTCCAATACCTCCTGCACCTTGGGAATGCTACAGCCTATGTAATGGTGAAATGCTTCCAGGTTTCAAAGTCAAATTGCACTTGGACAGTAAAAGGCCTAAGAGGGATGCAATGTGGTCTAGAAACAGGATGAAACTGATCCTCAATCAACACAAGTTTCTGAAATCGATATGCATGAAATTCAGAGTGATGCTATAAAAACTCCTTGAAAAAAATCTTTGCATAAGCTTTGTAGGGCTGGGACTGATTTTAGTGTGCGTGTGTGTGTGTACGGACAATCACAGGATCTATCAGATATAATTATTGTACATTACTATTAAGATCTTTACACTCAGACCAGATCTCCACTGCACGAGGTACTATGCAAATAAAAAGCAAACAGCTTCTCAGCCAAAGAATTTTCTAGTTAATTCTAATAATTAATTACAAAACAGTTGCCTGGGAGTGAAGAGAGGGGACTAATACCAAAAGTTTTCTGTCTCCATGTCAACAAGAATGTAATACATATGCATGTACATGATCCCTCAACACTACACACTTCCATTAATCCATGATGTGGTAGAAGGAGAATTGGAAGTGAAAGGGAAACAGTTACACTGCAATCTTTAGTTGTTTCTGATCCATATAATGCTGGAACGACCTCTGTCTCTATTCTACTAGCTGAGAAGAGAAGCCAACAGAGTATCTGTTTTTATAGCTAACCTAGACAAACTAATCAAATGTTGTGGCAGCCATTTTTACTTGAAAGGGAATCAGGGAAAAGAGGAGATTGCTGGTCATTTTGACAAGCATTAACATCTTCCTCCTTCTCTTTCTCCATGAAACACACAACAGGATATAATTAGGCAAGGCAATATGTTCAGGGACAGATGAAAAGACAGAAGGAAGCTAAAACTACAGAAAGCAGAAGATTCAGGATGAATTAAGTAAAGGACGCCTCTAGCAAGTATGTTTAATGGAAAGACCAGGAGGTTAGCTTGCAGATGTCTGCTGCTGAAACTCATTTTTCTGAGAACTAATAAAAACCTGAGAAGCGCAAGATTCTTATAATGCGTTCAGAAAAGACAAGGAGAAGCATCCATAACAGTATTAGGGGAGCTCCCTGTTGGTACACTTTAGTGTTAATGGTTAAAGAATCAATATGGTCATCCTTCCAGTCATTGAACTGAGAACATCTGTCCCCACAGGGAACAAGAGGAGGAGGATCTGTAAGACATGGAGTTCCTGAAATATCAAGGTCATTGTGAATCTAACAGCACACAGTGCAATGGTACCAGAATTCCCCTTATTTTGGAAAATTGTTCAAATAATGCAGTCCAGAAACTTGGTTTTCTTTAAACCGTTGCTTTGTACTTGCAAGATGATTATAGCTTGGAAGAGATACAGTGAGTATACAGCCTCAGTACAAGGCAACCAGAACATTTTTAGCCAAGCAAGTGCACACTCTCTCTTGCTCACAAACTGGCCATCAGATTGGGCTAAGAAACACATTTTTAGTTTACTAATTTCCTGCACAAGGCCCTGTTGCTCATTATTTATAACAGTGCTGAAGTACTCGTGCTGTGTTAAAGAAACTGAACAATGGAAAAGTTTATCAGATGCTGAGAGTGCTTTATGGAGTGCGCTACTAACACAGCAAGCATGACTTACTTCTACCGGTGCCCTCCCACACTGCAGAGAAGGTGAGTTACTTCCCTTCTTTATTTATTTATTTTAAATGGTCTTTCAAATTTGTTTGGTGCCATCAAGTGGTGATGCACTCTAGTGCTGCTTTCACATACCTTGAATTCTCAAGGGAAGTAATATAGCAACCCTGAGAGCAAACAGAAGCACTAAGATGCTGGACTGTATTCTTTGCCCTACAGGGGAACATTGGTACAGGGTGGTTCATTGCTTTGGGGAGAGTCACAAATAAGGAAGACGGTGAAGGAAAATTTGCTGGATTACAGAAGAGCAAGTGCTGCAGAAGTAAAACTACCGGGAACAGCTCAGTAGATCTGTTCTAATTCTTTGCTAAGCTGATCAGAAGCTCCCTTTTGCACTCTGTGGCTTTCTTAAGGGTCGATCCAATTCCAGAGGCTATCCTTGTGCAATACACTATTTTTTCTTTTTCCCCATCTGTGAAACAGGAAGAGCAGCCCCCTTTCTTTCTCCAACTTGGTCTGACCTAATGAGAAAGTATTTTGTAATGATCTACACATCCACACAGTGCACAGAACTGTATGATCTCTTAGGCCTCCAGATTTCTTCAAGACTTTCTAAATTTCACCTGCATTTTTGCTTTGCTAACTTTGCATTACCATACATAAAACCAACTCCTTAAATAAAACCTCTTGTACTATAATGTTCTTCTCTGTTCTTATGCTTTAGAGACTCCTGCACCATCTTCTGCCACATTGCAAGGAAGTGGAGAAATTAACAACAGAAGGACACCGAGCAATCCCCATTCTTCCATTATTTCCAATATACATAATTTAGATGTGTTATTGTGCTTTCCTCAGAGTTAAAACCAAAAAGGTTTCACATGTTGCTAGTCGCCTTGTAGGATCTAGTCCAGGAAAGGAAGTAACCTATCTAGTGACAGTCACTGTAACAAATTTCTTCCACCTATACTTCAGATCTCTCTTACCTCTTTTAGAACTAGAGAGAAATATGTGTTTCTATGTTCATTTGCTTTAATCAGGAGGGGAGAGTGCTAGATTTCTTCTCATCTATTTAAAATTCTAAAAAGTCTTGAAGCAAAATGTAAGGAGACTTAAAATGAATAAATATTGTAAGAAATGTGTCTGTGAGCCAGGAAGAAGCTCTCTCAATGGAATGAATCCAAAGCCACTCCACATTTTACACAAGTCATACAGGGCTGTGAAGCTCCTTGGCAACGCCATGTTTTTTTCTTCCCAGGCACATTTTTTAAGCTACAGTGCATAATGATCAAATGGATTCCAGACAGGCTTAGCTTGGAAACTGGAAGGCTAAGGAAGCGTCACCCAAAACTCTCCCTTTGTTTGTCATTTCAAGCCACAGGCCTTGGGAA